CGCGCGCCCACAGCGCCTCCACCCGCACGCGGCAAGCTGGCCACGCCGACGCCGGCTCAGCACCCTTCCACCGTCTCTCGCGCGCCCACAGCGCCTCCACCCGCACGCATTAACACGCCTCTTGTCGTACCCTCGCGGGACAACGTTCTACAGTCTCTAGGCCTCTCGACCACTCGTGCCCACTCGGCTACTGCCTTCAGTGCCGCCTTCAAGACACCCGCAATGGTGCCGGCGCCGGCGGTGGTGCCGATCACGCAGGGCCCCAAGCGTAAGCCGCGCCCCGTCGTGGTGAAGAAGGAGCCGGTCGATCAACATTCGATGCTCACAATGGACGAACCAATCGACATCGATGATGAGCTTGCCGACTCACTTGCCTCCTCTCCCGCACCTCTCATTTCCTCGACTCAAGCTCAGGAAGGCGAAGCTAAAGACACAGCACAACACGTGCGCTCATGCCTTGCATTGCACCGTCTCATCCCAACCGATGATGATCGCCCGTGCCGACTCTGTCATCAATGCATTGAGTCGCCTGGGCATGCAGTTTTCATCTGCGCTTCCTCTACGCGGCTATGCACGGCAAGGCAGGAGTTTCTAAGTAACGTGCGCATGCGCTTGCCAGGCTTCAACGCCCCGCAACAAGATGATCAGGCATTAGATGCGTTGCGGGTTCTGATGGAGGACACTGCTATACTAGATCTCATCGGGGCATTTGCCCAGATTGTCGTGCATTCGTATGACTCGCTTGACGCTGTCTGATTGGCGTGGTAGCTTTGAGTACACCTATAATCGTGTGCATCCATCTTTCACCACGTCTCCGCATGCTCCCCCCTTTTTCGCACCCTGACCCTTCATTCTTACCTTTTGATTCTCATTATAATTGTTAGCACCTCTCTCCCGTTACATATGTGGTTGGTCCTTAGTGAGTGTCTGTCATGGACGTAGCCTATATAGTGGTGAAATGCACGGTTGCTCATCGTACAAGCGTCACACCGCTCTCAAATTTGACTTGCATGTTTATCCTTCAGAGGCAATCGGGGTCGTAGAGAGAGTAGAGAGCACAGGATTAGTATATTGTAAAGGCAAAAATCACAAAGGTGGCACACATTATAATGGCTTCTTGTAAACACGACGGACGCGGTAACGCCATGCGTGGTGTTTACCTACGGCAATTGGGTCACCCGCCCAGGGATCAATTTCAATGGCCAAATCCAGGTTCCGGCACATCAAACACCTCATTGAGACCACTTCCTGGTGTTGTCCGTCCACAGGCTCCTGGGAGAGGCACACCACCGAACTGAGGCAGAGGCAGAAAGGGCACTGTACTGGTACAGGCACACCTCCCGGCTTATCCTCGCCCGTGAACACATATTCCCTGACGCTCAAGCGGTATGGGGCACTACTAGACCTAGACTTGCAAAGCATAGCCACGATATTGGAGTGTGCGCCCAGCGTATGCGTGCTCGTACTGAGCACGTCGTCTATGAAGGAGTAAACATCCTGTTCAGCGGTGACATAGCGATAGGCCACTGCCATAATAAATGACGTCGCCTCCATGATATTGAATTTCGGAGCGGTGAAGCCAAACAATGCCTCGCAGTGCATACTAACTCAAATCAGTATACCCTCATGTAGGCATGAGAAATGACATGATCATACCGCCGACTAATCGCCTCCCACTGTGTACGGGCGTCGAGTACAGTCATTGTTGACCCGCATCCCAGACAGAACAGAAGGTTCGAGACCGTTGATGCGAACTCCATAAAGGTTGGAGTGATGACACCGAGCTCGAAGTCCTCGACTGAGCAGGCTCCGTTCTCGCGATGCCAGAGCATGCCTTGATTCGCTTCGCTCTCAGGTACACTGCGCGTTGTTACGAAAACAAGAAGGCGCTCCGGATCGAAGCTGGAGAGGCCAGATCGGAGTGAACTTGGAGCAATGGATGACAGAAGTACTTCAGCTCACCGTCTCAGTTCAGCTACGATTTGTTGGACATGCCTCGCATGCACTTCCTCTGCGGAACCGCCGGCTAGGTTGAATGAAATGTCGAAACGACGAAGATTTTCATTCCCCGGGCCATACCCCATCTTGACTTGCGTGTGGACAATGTCGACAACCGTTGAGCTGTGCGAGAGGCTGTCCAAGACAAAGTGAACTAGAGCAACACGCGGTGCGCCGACACGTGCGCCGAGACGTCTAAGAGCGGCCAGCGTAATCTCGGCCGGTCGCTGTAGAAGCGGCGTCTGGAAACCGGTTTCCTTCACATATAGCGCCTGTAGGGCCTGATGAGTATGACGGCCAATGAAGTTGATGACTGGCTGACTTAGCTACATACCTTATAACTTGAATTAGTTAGGGCGTGCGGTCCAAGCTCGCAATCAGGACACAGGAAGTCGCCCCACATTTGGACCACCTGGTCATCTCCAAGAACCGGAATGCAAGTCACGCAGACAGCACGCCTGCAGGCACGGCATATTGTCAGTAGCTCGGAGCCGTCGCTACACAGTGAGCAGTACTGTAGTTAATGGGTATCAATTGATATTCGGCCAGTCTACTAGGTCTAAAGACACTTACGTCGTCAGTCGCGAGTGTTGCTTCTCTGCCACGCTGGGAAAGGAGTATGAGCAGAGTCAGCAAAGAGATGCAGAGACGCGAAACACAGTAGTACCAGTAGTGTGTCTGTCAAGACCGGTTCGCTGGGACGGACGGGCCCACGATGCGCGGCTACGACTACGGCCGACAAAGCGATAGCTGGCGCGGGTGCTCCCAGAGAGCGCCGTGCTGTGTGCTTTCTCGTGACGAAGGAAGGCGCAGACATGGGTTCAGCGTGTGTGGAGACGAACGGGAAGATGCTGAGATGGCTTATGGTGAAGGTCAAGGTGGGTCAAGGTGGCCGAGCAAGCGAGCATGGGAAATTATGCAGCCCGATGCCCGGCATAAAGCGTTGGAGTAACTTAAGACAGAGGAGATGGATAAACCACTAGTCACGGGGTTAGCTGTGCAAAGCTGTGCGGGTTGCCAAATGCGGCGACGACGTACTGTCCCGCTCGACGAGGAGGCTCAGTGTCAGTCTAGCATAGTGTATATAGACTCCTACGAGTACATAGAGTACCTACACGGAATCCGCAGACTGGCCGTCAGGTTTTCGTCTTCATGTTGATTTGGTGATTTTTCCCGTTTGGATGCGTGAATCTGCTTTGAGCGCGTTCGGAGTGTTGCCGCTCCTCCGGGGAGCATTGAGAGTTAGATTTAACGATGCAATCTTTTCGGCGGGCGCCTCAGGACTACGCCCAACGCCTCACATGGAGGGAGAGAGTTCTCACAGCGTCCAAAATACTGGATCGTCGGACGTTCCCAGCCGCTGATCCGAGGAACTGTTATCTTATCTCTGTAGTATAGCGATGGCGAATGCGGCCTGATCTCGGCGCAGGATGATATCCTAGACTCTACTTGATGACGATCTCGTCAAGAAGTTTAAGCCCGATGCAAGAATATGCGTATTAGACACCAGTCTCAACACATACCGCAAGGGTCGCGACTGATCTTACGGCCGAGTCTCGATGCTACATACCGTCATGCTTGCTTGGCTTGCTCGTCATCAAAGTCAAGTGTTGTTCGAAACCAGCGTACGAGCGAGAGACCCGGCGAGCGTATGGCGGTCAGAACGTTCGGAAAATCGGAGCGCGCGCGCGCACCTCCGCGCTTCCCGCGCTACGTACCTCTGCGTCCCCGCGCCTCTGTCCTCCCCCGCCAGTCTGCACGCCGCTCCCTTCACTCCATCCTGATCTGAACCTGCATAGAAAAATGTGTCCTGCGCTGTTAGCGCTGTGCGAGATCGGCCAGAAGACGAGGACACCGGACGTGGCGGCTTCGGGCCGCGCGGTGACGCGCCCACGTGGCTTGCCGCGTGTGCCGCAGATCGCGTCGTCCTCTCTCGGTCCTGCGACTCGTAGCTTACATTGGTTTACACAACGTATTCCTCTCGCAAGATCTCTAAAAACTCAAGCAGCTGGTAGCATGTGCCCTATTCATGTAGTAATAGCAATGGGATGTACTATTTAGAACATCTTTATTGTAATAATCAATGCATGA